CCAGGAATTAAATGAAGGACATTACCAACAACAAAAATAGAATTTAAAAGGCATTTAAGCAAGGCACAAACACAGTCTCTCAGATCACCAAAGGAAAATTCTGTGGAAAAAGAGGTGAAAATGCCTGATAATTAACCATCTGGATGTCGCGCGCCGCTTGCCAGCAAGTAGACACGCGAGGCAGGATCCTTCTGAGGCTTTATTGAAAGTAGGGAGAAGGCACTCAAACAAAGGAATATACCTCCTTATATAGACTAGAGTTCTTCCACACTAGGCAATGCCCCATGGCAACAACTATTCCTCCAATAAGGATTTTTCCTAGTGTAACAGACTATGGCCAGTGTGGAGAAATCACCATCTCGCGATCCTCCATTACATGTCTTACATCTCATATTCATATATAAATCATTATGATTATAGCAAAGCAGGCAAACTCCTTATCTAGCAAGATAAAATAACTATATCAGCCTAAAACAACAATTGGGCTCAAACTCAGCAAACTAGGCAGACATGCTCTCCACATCTCACCCTTCTTTTATATAAAATGATGGCTCAGGAATATGTCTGTCTTAGGTTGTCCAGGACTCAAGCAATGCCTTACCCGTCATGGAGAATTGTACTTAGATTTGAAAGATACAATCTCTGTCTTAGGTTGGTCATTGATGATCCCAGATCTTACCCGTCTCTGACTACTATTCCATTTGTGCGAGCCATACCTGAGGGGAGATACCAAGTTCTACGGCCAAAAAAGCCTGGCGCAGCAGATGAATCTGCTGTCGACGGCGTTGACGTGCCATCCAACAGAGGCAACAACTGATAATGCCCAATACAGAAATTACTATAATAAACACTACAATAATCCATCTTGCAAACCTTTTCAAACTACTGGCGGGCTGAAACAAAAAATCCCACCAAACATGATTGGAATCTTGAAGAATGGCATTGTGTAATTGCATCAATTGACCTGCAGCAATTACCGTAGCTATTCGATAATCATCTGCTGCAGCCTTCATCTCTATCAAAGACCTTTTCAACAAATTTGATTGCTGTAATATTTCTGCAAGATTCAATGTGATTTCAGGCACCACCAACTCAGGAAGTACAATTGTCTCATGAATTCTTTGTACAATGGGTAAGGACACATTAATATAGATATCTCCATTCCACAAAAGCCAAGATCTATTATGCAAACATCCACTAAAAGGACTAGATAATTGCATCTTACTCAATTCAAACTCATCAGAACTGGCCAAGCAGATGGAATTAGGACCCGCATCATACAATGCTGTAACATTAGACATGGGTAAAACTGATAGAATAGAAACATTTTTTGAATGTTGTAAAAGACAAGGCTCTGTTTCCCTTGTTAACCCCATACAATATAATCCCTTATCTGTTTCCTTACAATTTTTCAAGGAATATGTAATATTATCAAAACCCGAACTGTGATTTATATGAATATGACTGCCATAAATTTGAGGAATAACAAAATGTTTTTCTATAATCAATGGTAACATTACAAAAGGGCACAGTCTCTTAAAACGTTGAGGGTGTAGCAATTCCAACCTTCCTGCACACCATTCATCTGTGCAGAGAACGTCTGGATGATCTTTGATGATCCACCAACCATCCGTGAAATTTAATCGTTCTTGCCAATTTCCAATCGTTGCTGTAGTGAGGCGCCGCTGGAATTTCTCCTTCTCAAGGGATGCATGAAGGGTTTTTAATGCACAAAATGTCCAGTTAAATAACCTTATTGTCTCATTTAATGATGCTATTAAGGTCTTATTATAAACTGTCAAGAAGCTCTCCTCAAACTTCAGAGTTGCATTATTATAGGCAAAGAGAGACGGGAGCCATCTTGCATTTATTGCTACAGCATTCGCTGTATCCTCACCAGTCTGACGAAGCTTCTGGGCCAAGGCTTCCAAATCCACTGAATTAGCCACTCCAAATCCAGTGCCCACTCCACCTAGAATGGTATCTAGGAGGGATCTGCGTCTATGACATCGGGACATTGGAAATCTTGGAAAGGTAAAATTATAATATATCATCTTTCTTTCTGCCAAAATTGTCACATTCTTACAGGAATTCTGAAGAGGAATTATATGAGGAGTGGTAAAATTACTATCAGAAAAAACAAA